GTCTACACGGTCAGTCATTAGCGCGTGTGCTGCGTAGATTATTTTCCCCGTGTTATTTTGTCTCGTGGCCTTCGCAGGCGGTTTCCAAACGCTCCGGCGGTCGCCGCTGACGGTGCGTGGAGCGACGGGGGGGGGGGGGGGGGGGCGGTGGGCGAGGGAGGAAGGCGGCGGCGGTGGTGTCGCCGTGCTGGGTCGCGCGGAGACAGAGGGTGACGTGACCCGCGCCTCTCAAACAAACAGCGCACGCGGAGGGAACGAACGCGCGCGTCTCTCTGCCGCGCCAGCGCACGTCACCGGCGCTGACGGGCGGCACGTGGCCGCGAGCACGTCGCGTTGGAGGCCAGCCCGCCTCCCTCTCGCCACCGCGGCGTTAACTACCTCGCCTGGTATGCGGCAGGTCGTCGGTTCGATCTCGACCCTGACGCCTGCTGCTGTATATTTGGAGTTTGCGTGTTCTCCCTCCCTCTCCCTCTCTCTCTCTCTCTCCCCGTGGTCGCGTGGATTTTTTTCTCTCCGGGTCCTGCCGGTTTTTCCTCTCCACATTTAGAATCAACATCACCACGCGTTGAGAGTATTTGGCTGCTGTAAATTTACACGTGATAAGCCACTCCGTCGGGCTTATTACGTGTGGCCAGGTCGCTTCTGAGAAAGAACTGCATAGCTCAGTGGGCCTTACTTTTACCTGGTAAAATAAAAATAGTTTCTAGTTTTCCCTTCCCTCCCTCCACCGTCTTAAACTCGCAACACGTCTGCTGTCCACGCCACCACCGCGGAAGGGAACAAATGACGCAAAGTCAAAATCCCAGAATCCGTACGCAGTCAAGTAAACAGCATTGCGGCTCAGCGGTACGGAGCGGGCGGATCGCAATCAGTCGGAAGGTTGCGAGGTTCAAGTCTTGTATGCGGCGTTTTGACCAAAACCCATCATCCACCCTGGGGTAGATAAAACGAGCGCCGCTTTTTAAGGAAGTCAACCGTGGTTTGTGCAATGGAGAGACTCGCACGTGCCATAGGAATGTGGAATTCATTCCCAACACTGGCTCAGGGCTGTAAACGGCAGACGGACACTGCCTCAATGCCCTTTTGAGCAGGGAATCACTTTCGACTTCATTTTGTAGCACAGCGCTTTTACCAAGCCACTGCCGGATGGATGAAGGTCACACTGAGCCGAAGGGATATAGGCACTGTGTGACCAGACTGAAACAGAATCTCCATTATTCAGCCGAGTAGACAGTCGAGGCAAGTACTGTTAGTGAGCGCCTATTGAGGCCAGTGAAGCACGTCAGGAATTTGTTTGGCTTGTACCACACCTGACCGCCTTTGTCTCCCCAGTGCTGATGTGTTAACCGAGAGGAGGCCTAGGACAAGTCTTGTTACCAGTCGACACTGACGTTAGCCGTGCCTGGGAATCGAATTCAGGGTTGCCAGGCTCATAGTACAGTGCACTAACCATTGATGCGATCACACACACACACTTGCGCGCGCGTGCGCGCGCAAGTGTGTGTGTGTGAGCGCGTGCAACGAGCCCATCAAGATAACTGCGCCAGATATAATTTTACTCTTGTACGGATATGAAAATCTATAGGGAGGGCACACAGGTCCATCGATAGGACTATAAGAGGAATGCTCTCAATTGGCCAAAAAAATAGCATTCAGACAAGCGCAAATGACATTGCGGGTGGGAGTGGAGGTGGGGGAGGGAGGGAGAGAGGAGTGAGGGAGGGAGGCTGCTGTGTGGCTCTTTGTGTGTCAACATTACATGGATGGCTTCCTTTGTTTCATGCCGGCCGCGACTGAATGAGTGTGTCGCCACACGCGCAGCACACCCGGCTGTTCTGCCCGCCGCAAATGTGTGCATGTGCACGGCTGTGGTTTTAACTCGGGCTAATGTGCACCGAGGAGAGAAAAGAGTATATAAGCAGAACGCCCTTGTGTGTCTCCACATATCATAATACAAATGCTTTACCCAGTTGGCTTTTCCAAACCGACGTTATCAAGCGGCATTTAAAGCAAGCAATCTCTGGACCGATTTGCAGACTTTTTTTGGCCTCGCCGGCAGAAGCAGGTTTATTAAACAAATGCTCGCTGGGCTTACGAGATGACATTGCCAAGAGCATGGTGTATAAACTATGGGACTTCGTTCAATGCCAACAGCAGTATTTGCTTGTAAATCCTCATTGTGTGTTGCTCTGAAGCATTCTGGGTAAGACCATATCCAGTACTGTATAAGCAGAACTCCGTTTTGTATTTACACATTTCAAATAAACATACGGTGGAGCAGCGGCGAAAGTGGTTAGCGCACTGCGCTATTAACCTGCAGACCTGAGTTTGATTCCCGGCCACGTTTATCTTGAGTGGTGAGTGATATCCGAGTTGTGAATGGATTGTAGTCCACCTCCCTGTTTCATTAATCGAGGAAACAACAGAGGAATAAGGGTGCCGATTGCTCTCCGTGCCCCCTCATTGAGACTACAAAGCATGGTACTTTATTGACATCTACCAAAGAAAGTGCTTTGAAGGTTTGTTGTTATTGATGTAATTATTATGAATGTAGGGCCCTTATTAAAAATCTTCTTCCTGACCGTGGCAAGTTTCAAGATCCGGCTTGCACTTTGACGAACCCACTTGACCAGCGTGGTGAAGTATGGTAAAAAAACAACAGCCATTAATTTACACAGCGTTGGGAGGCCTTCGCCCGGCAGTGGATTGACAGTGCTGTAAGTTATTATTATTTTTATTATTTTCACGTTCTGTGAATAAATTTGACTTATTCACTAGGTTCCCCAAAGCATCATTTTAAATGCCACTGTCCTTCCATCACTGTTGTATGTATGGATGTTTAACTTCTTTCACACTGTACGTAGCCAACGGTGCCAATCGGAGATGCGATTAGCACGGTTGGCTAACATCAACGTTAACATCAATGTTAGAATAACTAAACATTAATGATGATAATAATACACCAACAGGGAGTGCTCTCCACCTTATTAAATCATCATCATTATTGTTGTAATATTATATATTATTGTATAATAATTATATTATTGGTGTATTATATTACTATTGTATTATATAATATTAATGTATTATAGTATTATTGTATTATACTGTATTATAGTATTATATTATTATTGTATTGTTATTGTATTATAGTATTATTCGAGTATTATAGTATTAGTATAGTATTATTGCATTGTTATAGTATTATTATAGTATTTTAGTCTTATTGTATTATATAATTATAGTATACGAGTATTATAGTATTATTATAATCTTATTGTATTATAGTATTATTATATTATAGTATTATTATAGAATTATTGTATTATCTTAACACCACTTTGCTGCCTCCCAGTGAACAAAACCCAGCACCTCAGGCAAAAGAAGAGAAATCTGCGGAAGCCCCCGGCACCGTCTCCGCAGATCTTCGTTTCCGTTTGGTGCTCAGAAAAACGATTTCTTGGCGAGAAGACCATAAAAAACCCCCGGTGAGCTCTGAACCTGCAACGGGCCCTCGATATAAAATCGGCCCTCTTAAATGACACGCACAGAGCCCTGCTGAGTGGAGTAGTGGCACAGCGGTTAGCGCACCACGCTATGAATCCGGTGACTCAAAAGTTTGATTTGCCGGCTACGGCTAACACCAGTGGTGAGTAATATTGGAACTGGCTCTGCCCTCAGACCCCCTCCCCTTCACCACCGCACACTCAGCGGTCTGGTGAAGTATGGTCAAATAACCCCCACGATCAGCAGAAAAAGGGGAGACCATCTAGCAGTGGGTGGACAGAGAGGTGCATTCTACGTGATTTGGCCATAGGGTCATGGTTATAGTCTCGTGATAGGGTTATCTAGGGCTATAGTTTGGTCATAAGGTTGGGTTAGGGCTATAGACAGATCATAGGGTTAGGTTAAGTGATATAGGTTTGTCAGAGTGTTATGGCTATAGTCTCGTCAGTGTTACAGTTAGGGTAAAAGGATGGTCGTGATGGTGTTAGGGGTGTAGGCTGGTCACATGTTTAGGGTAAATTAGGGGTATAGTCTAGGCAGGGCTGTAGGCTGGTCACAGGTTTAGGGTAAGTTAGGGGTATAGTCTAGGCAGGGCTGTAGGCTGGTCACAGGTTTAGGGTAAGTTAGGGGTATAGTCTAGGCAGGGCTGTAGGCTGGTCACAGGTTTAGGGTAAGTTAGCGGTATAATCTAGGTAGGGCTGTAGGCTGGTCACATGTTTAGGGTAAGTTAGGGGTATAGTCTAGGTAGGGCTGTAGGCTGGTCACATGTTTAGGGTAAATTAGGGGTATAGTCTAGGTAGGGCTGTAGGCTGGTTACAGGTTTAGAGTAAGTTAGGGGTATAGTCTAGGCAGGGTTGTAGGCTGGTTACAGGTTTAGGGTAAGTTAGGGGTATAGTCTAGGCAGGGCTGTAGGCTGGTCCCAGGGTGAGAGTAAGTTAGGGGTATAGTCTAGGCAGGGTTGTAGGCTGGTTACAGGTTTAGGGTAAGTTAAGGGTATAGTCTAGGCAGGGTTGTAGGCTGGTTACAGGCTTAGGGTAAGTTAGGGGTATAGTCTAGGCAGGGTTGTAGGCTGGTTACAGGTTTAGGGTAAGTTAGCGGTATAGTCTAGGCCGGGCTGTAGGCTGGTTACAGGTTTAGGGTAAGTTAGGGGTATAGTCTAGGCAGGGTTGTAGGCTGGTCACATGTTTAGGGTAAGTTAGGGGTATAGTCTAGGCAGGGCTGTAGGCTGGTCCCAGGGTTAGAGTAAGTTAGGGGTATAGTCTAGGCAGGGTTGTAGGCTGGTCACAGGTTTAGGGTAAGTTAGGGGTAAAGTCTAGACAGGGTTGTAGGCTGGTCACATGTTTAGGGTAAGTTAGGGGTATAGTCTAGGCAGGGCTGTAGGCTGGTCACAGGTTTAGGGTAAGTTAGGGGTAAAGTCTAGACAGGGCTGTAGGCTGGTCCCAGGGTGAGAGTTATGCGGTGCCCCGTGAGGTCACTGGGTGTTTAACTCTTACCTGGGAAGAAACCTGGGGAGAACTTGTGCACGGACACCGTCATCACCTTCGGGGTGAATGAGAAGGCGTCCTCCACACCTGCGGGGGGGGGGGGGGGGGTGGTGTGGTGCGGTGTAGCGTGGTGGTGCGGCGTGGCGCGGCGTGGTGTGGCGTGGTGATGCGGTGTAGCGTGGTGGTGCGGCGCGGTGCGAGGGTTGGGGGTTGACAAAGGGAGGTCCACACAGTCACAAGGGGCGCAGGCCGCCATCGCACACCCCACCTACTTGCGCGCAGTTTCACAAACTCATCTTCTCAGTTTTGACAGTTCGATTCGAAACTTAACACTCGGGGACATATTCTGCAGTCCCACAGTCTGCACGGCCTGGGGAGGCCCTCATCCAGCAGTGGGTTCATAAAAGAGCCGTGAACTTGTTCGATGTTTTCTTGCACTCCTTTCTCTCCGTCGCGGTTTATTGACCTCGTGTCGCGCGTGCGTGTGCATGTGCTCGCGCGTGCCACCCTGCGTGCGTGCGTGTGTGTGTGCATGTGTGTGTGCGTGCCACCCTGTTTGTGTGTGTGCCACCCTGTGCCGCTTTGGCGACTCGCGTCTCAACGGGCTCTGGCCTGGCCTAAATAAATAATGACAACAACAATGCCCTTTGTTTATCCAGCAATGCCTCACTCCAAGTCTCAAGACTGTGCTTCAGGAGGGTCCTGTATCATTGTGTTTGGCCAATGCCATGAACAATGTGTGGCGCGTGACAATAAACTGGTGTTCGCGGAGAAAACCTACACATATTATTACACTTGTTTCACCAGGAAAGCCTCACTCAGTCGAATGTACGTTGAAGTTCTTTCTCAGCGTACATGGCCAATCGCACTAATCAGAGATGCGGGGGGAAGGACAACTAAAAACAAAAAACAGTTCTAAAGAAATTCGCTTTCAACCTCGATTAAAAAGTGCAGAAGCTCCAGTGGCTTCCTAATATCGGAAGGAAGAGCATTCCAGGCGGCCACATAAATCGCATCTGAAAGCACGCGACGGGGTGACCATCTTTGTTTAATGGCTTAGCCAAAAGCCGCTGCTGCGAGGATGACCGCAGTTTGCGTGATGATGGTTTATGACTCCTTTTCAGGAGGGTTCTGCTTAATACTTTACAGTCGGGGCAAGATGACTGTTATGTGCATTGCAAATTGAGAACCTTACAGGTAATTTTTAAATTTGGTCACCTGACGCGGGGTACACAATGGCCCCTGGCTCTTGCGATTGACGTCAGGGGATCTTTAATGACCGCGGTAATAACCGGGACGGCCGCTGGATTCGAACCGTGAACTTCTTAGACAGGTGGCGAACGAATGAATGCGCTACCGCTGGGCCGTGCTTGCCGCCCCGATTGTCACATGTTAGAGGATAACACCGTGTGCACCCCCCCCCCCCAAGTGATTCTTAGCACCCCTAGTTCCTTCATCATCCCAGCCAATGCCATGGCTGGTTGATCCAGGCAAGTGGCAGACCCAAGCAGGGGGGAGGGCGGGGAGGTGGAGTGATGGGGGGGCCTGGTATATTTGGAGTTTTCATGTCTGTCTCTCCCCGTGGTCTGGTGGATTTTTCTCCGGGTCCTCCGGTGCTTCCCTCCTCATTTAAAATCAACATCACCCGTTTAAGAGTATTTGGTTGCTAGAAATGCCCACGTGATAAGCCGCTTAGTTGAGCTACGACTTGTGGCCAGGTCGCTTCTGAAAAAGAGCTACGTAGCTCAGTTTCTTACCTGGTAAAATAAAAAATAGTTTAGTTTTATAGTTTAAATCGCTCCCCTACCCCCATGCTCTCCCTCCGCCCGCCCCCTTGAGGCCCCTATATATTGATGCAGTATTTATTAACGATAATATATTGAATGTTTCATTTATTATTCATGTCGGGCCCGATTGAACAATCTTGCAATATTCGAGACTGCCCCCCTCCCGTTTGTCGCTGGCAGGTTTATCGATCGTTGCTCTCAGCTGATGGGCACTGGGGGGCCATGGTGCGTCAGTCATGGGGGGGTGGGGGGGGGGACAACAGCCTGAGACACTTCACGTGTGGTCTCAAGGTGCACCTAGCATGGCACAAGCGCTGCGGTGACGTCACCGCCACTTGGTGGTAAACGGAGGCTGTTTTCGTGGTTGTTGCTGATTCAATGTCAGAAACACCCCCGCCCCGCCCCCCCCCCCCACAAAGTTGCCCCAAAACCCCCGAAGAATCTCAAGAGCATCGTGCCGAAGGCTTACCCATCATCACCCCAAAGACAAAGACCCCCCGTATAGCCCGAACAGACTGCTGGGGCAAGTGCTGTTAGCGAGCACCTACGAAGGCCGGCACGGCACATGGGGAAGTGGGTGGCCAACAACACGCCCGGCCGCCTTTGTATCCCTCGTGGCGATGTTTACGCACCGCACCGGGTACTCATTTGAGGCTGAGTAAACCTAGGGGAGGACGAGGACCGGTTCAGTTAATTGTCACTGGCGTTGGCCGTGAGCGGGAATCGAACTCGGTTCGTCGGGTTCGTAGCGCAGCGCGCTAACTGCTGCGCCACCACTCGCCTGCCCACACTGCCGCACTCTCCTGCCCCCGCCGCTCACCCACTCGGCCAGCCCCTGCTGTCTGTGCGGTTTCAATGGGATTCAACCCACATGCAAATGCACAGATCCAACTCGTGCCAGGAAGCCAGACACAGTCACGCGTTACTCGAAAGCCTTGTTGCGCGCGCCCCTTTGGATGCCACAACCCCTGGCGACAAACCTTGCTCGTGTTTATTTTGCAACGTTGCGTGCTTTTTATTCCGTGCTCAAAAAAGCCCTTTGGAAAAGAATGCCCTCCAACCTACCCAACCAAAAATCTACTTAAAAATAAATAAACGGGGGAAAAAAAATCTGCCGTAAAAATACATAATCGGTGGTGTACTGTGCATTACTGCTTCAAGAGTTAAAGGCCCGGAGCATTTCTTAGTAAAGGCGCAGCCCTGCAACAGCCTGCTCGCGGTACCACTGGCTTCAGGGCCTCCACTAGAGGGAGCTCTAGAGAGGGGGTATTTGGCCCGACGCTTCCACGCGGGCCCGACAAGACGCTTGACGACTGGGTGAGAGTACCCACACTTTACCCCACCTGCCCATCGACTTATCTGCGGTGTATAATACAGAACCGCTAACCACTGATTTGGGTGGGGGGTGGGGACATGGGGGAGGACGGGGGGGTTGGGTTGTGGGGGTCATAATAAACTTTTGCTTAAACCGGCGCGCCGGGAGATCGAATCAAAGCTGCGACCTGTCGTTTAGCGAGTCCAGCGCGTTGGCGCCGCGGGTCACCTAAAATTAAACCCACGAAGAATCGTCGAGACGACGAAACAAAAACCCCGTCACCGGTGGTGGCACGAGGACGCCTTGCGTCGTTTCAGCGGTGGAAGCGCGCTGGCTGGGAGCGTTGTTAATGAAGCCCTGCAGTGTATCACAGCGCCGCCGTGAGCAAGGGGACCCCATAGATCATCGGCGCCAATGCACGGCACTTCGCTTTTTCATTTTCAGACAGGCACCTGGCCCGGGCTGATGCAAGGGGTGCTCGTCCGCTGCAGAATACCGGATGGGCTCCTCAAGGTCATACCTTGCATGAGCACAACATAAGCACAACGCCTTGCTGTTTTCCCACGGGTTATTTGTTAGTCCGATTGTCAGCCGATTTGATCTTTCCGGACCGATATTATCCAGGAGCATTTGTGGAAAGCTAGAAAAAATAAGATCTGGTTTCAACATTCTGGATCTCGTCACGGAAGCGAGGTCAGATGTTCTAAGAGCATTCCGTATAAACTATGGGACTTGTCATTCAATGCACGAAGCAGTTGTGGGTAAAAGCCCGACTCCGTTCTCTGTCTCCACACCATCATCATTGGCTTTGGTCAATCCACTGCTGGATGAAGGCCTGTCCAAGCTGCCGCCATCTCTCCACAAATGAATATACATCTCCACATATGAATGTAATAAAAAGTAGAAATTTATATTATTTACTTCATCAGCCTATATTCACTAAACTTTTTATTTTACCAGGTAAGGCCCACTGAGCTATATAGCTCTCTCTTAAAAGAGGCCTGGCTATCACAAATGACAGCCCAAATAAGTGGCTTATCACGTTGAAATTTCTAGCAGACAAATACTCAAAACTCCAAATATACAGCAGGCGTCGGGATCGAACCCACGACCTCCTGTATATCAGGCGAACTAGTTAACATCTCACCACTGCGGCAACTATTCCACACCAATATTATCAGCATTTGTTTAAGCAACCAAGGTCACGTCGCTCACAAACTCCTGGAGGAATGAAAGCAAGGTGTTGGGGCAGGGCTGGATTAACATTGTGTAGGCCCCTGGGCTACAGGTACTGTGAGGCCCCTGGACTACAGGAACTGTGAGGCCCCTGGACTACAGGTACTGTGAGGCCCCTGGGCTACAGGTACTGTGAGCCCCCCCCCCCACCAGTAATATTTTCAAAAGGAAAAAAGTTAAAGAGGAATAAAATGTATTTGTACAAGGCGAACAAATAAAAATCAGCATCCACAAATGAAATCACTTTTCACTTGATCTCTGGAGGCCCTCCAGCTGGTGGAGGCCCCTGAGCTGCAGCCCCTAAAGCCCTCCGTGCCTTGATCTGGCCCTGGGTTTGGGGGAGGTCCCCCTCGCCCCCCCGTGAGGCGAGCAAGCAACAACAACAAAAAACCACGTGCACACCCTGGTCGCGAAAGTTGGATTTGTCAAAATTAGAATTTGCCTTGAAACGACCTTGGCCGAATCCTCGAATAGGAGGGTGGGGGGCCGAGGCCACGGCACTGGCCTTGGGTGGCCGAGAACGGGCGACGACGACGACGACGAGGAGGAGGAGTAAGGCCACGACGCCACCCAAGTGGCAGGGGGTGGGGTGGGTGGGGTGGGGGTTCGCTGCCGACCAACTTTTTTGTTGTTGTTTGGAGCGAAACGCGACCCAATATGGATTCGGGAGAGGGCTTCAAAAAAAAATGTCACGCCGCTCAGGAATGCACGCGCGCGATGGTAGAGAGCGCGGCTGGCGCGGGGGGCTA